GCAAAAGTTCAATATAGGTCCCATAGAACCTAAAATCGCAAAAGTTTGATTTCCAATATCCTGGCGAATTATTTCTTCGACAAATACTGTTGCGAACGCCTCGTTTGCGAGCGTCGAGTGTCGCAAGCACCTCGATTGAAACTTTCGTGTGCCACGTGGTTGCGCGAGACAATACCAAGCCGAAGCAGAACACGTATATCTGGTGCACAGGCGAGCGAAAAAGCGAAAGAGAGGCAAGGTTTCGCCGTGGAACCTGGCGAGAGGAAGCGGGCGCAGGTGCTTTGTCCACGCGCTACGCAGAAAGTCACGGCGCAAGATATATTTCGCCGGTGATCCTAGCGAGCGTTTAATTAGCAGAAATTAATTAGCCTCTAAGAGGAACATATTGATCGGTTATGTGAGCGGACTGGCCAAGCAGGCTGGTCGATAGCGGCGAAACGGGCAACGGGCGGCCAGAATGGAAGACGTAATACCCGATGTCGCGACAGATCCGTTGAACAATGCCGGCCAGCAACGTTCCCCGCTTTTTGTCCCCCGGCCGATCGTTAATTAGCGCGTGGAATTTCGCTGTTGCCCCGTCCGTTTGCCGTGAAATCGTCATCCTTTTCGACTCGGTAGCTTTTTGCGATGGACTCGGACCATCGACCAGCGAAATCGTCTTTACATCGTCTCGATGGTACATCGGTGTATCGACGAATCGTTAACGATGCCTGCTCCCTTCGTACCGTTAACAACTAACCACTAACAGAGTGATCAAAATGATCAGAAATTTCAACGATGAAATTGGATGAAATTGGATTCAAGCTTTTTATTATTATACGTTAATTCCTTCCACACACGTTTTTCATAATTTATGCGTGGTGGAAATTTCGACGACACAATTATCCGCGGGAGATTCCACCTTAACCTATTTGCATCGCGAATCAGAATAATATTCTACGAGCAATGAACATGTTATTAAGCGCGGGATACATCCTCGTAGTTTAACTTTATTGACAAGAAGTAAAATCTCACGTAGTCTGCCCCAATCCACCGAGGTTATGTTAACGTAATCTCACGATGAACGGTGAAAATTGTCTCGTAAAAATTCATTACCTCGACACAGACATTCGTTAGCGGTAACTGGCGATGTCACTCGCGAACGTTCGTTTCGATTTTCCACGTTTACAGAGTAGACCAAGGCTTGCAATTAGCCTCTGTCCTCGTAGAATCGGCGAAAGTTACGATCGCGCGACGGGTCGTGGATCGTACACGCTTCGTTTCAAATTGCAACTTGGACGTCTGGTCCACCCGGGAGAAAGAATCCGTGACAAAACAAGGACCGACCATCAGGAGCATCGGCTAATGACACGCGAGTACGAGTTAATCATCGGACGCCAGCGGAACACGGACGATAATCACCCGGTCGTGATCGGGTGAATGGCGAGCGAGTGCAGGAGAGGGGGGACAATTTCTTTTTTACGATTCAATTTCACCGATCGTTGGCAAATCAATCGGTGGGTGAGGCCCCGTTTCCCTCGACGGGCCCTCGGTCTCGCTTCTATAAATTGGGGATTAACGACGAGGCGGCCGACGCTGATTGCGCGGAGAAACGCGTGTGCGCACGCACGGATCGACGACTGGATAATTTATGTGAACACGATCGGTCGGAGGAGCGCGATCGTTAACGCGAAACGAGCTTGGATTTTCGCGCTGCCGTCCCGATCGTTTGCTCTTTCTTTTCTTTTCTCTCTCGTTCTTTCTTTTCTCCCCTCTCGCCAACGAGCCGAGACGATTTCTTGTCGTCGACGAAGCCGTGCAATCCGAGGTGAAATTTTGTTAGAGGTAGAATTTTCCCGCGATGAAGAAGAACGACTTCTCATTTAGATGTACGTATTGGTATCATTATTGAACATTAACTATAAAATAGTTAAAATTTAATGATACATTTTACAGTACAAATTGACATTACTCGATTAACGATTAAGCAATCAGCTGCTTATCGCTCATTGTCGATCTTTCGTTTCAATTATTTCATCGAGATTCTCTCTGAGACAACAAACTTGCTTTCTTTTCGTGAAAACCAGACTGAAACTTAGATGCAAAGATTCGAGAGTGCGTCCAAGGGAGTTGAAAATGAAAGCACAAGTACATCAGCCGCTTTATTTTTCATTTCTTTGTCTGTCAATTTGTGTTAAAAGAACAGCTTTGTTTTACGCAGTTTAAGGGTTCGAATGTGAGGTGTCGGGCAAACGAAGTTACGTAAAATCGGTTCAACGAACCGAGCCGAGATTGGCAAAGGGAGGAAATCGATAAAAAAATTTGGCGAGTTTTCATTGGGCGCGTCGGGCGCGCGTTAATTAACGGGCGAGCGTTATCGGTGGCTCGCAGATAATTATTAGGCGATGCATACACGGGAATAACGTGCCGATAATTTCGCACCATTCGAACAAATCTGCGCAAACATGATTAATATTACGAACTTTGTAATGCTATCGGATATTCGAGAGGATCTCGTTCGTTTCTATCGCGTTCGATGACATAATTAACGATAAACGACGATACAATACCATCGTCGATCTTCCTCTCGCTCTACCACGGCAATCTCTCCACTAGCGTAATACATTTTTAACCGATCGAGAGCTATTCGAAAGAAAAAAAAAAAAAAATGAGAAAGGAAGGATCGTTCGCATTGATCGTATATATTTACCATGGATAAATAATTGGACTCTTGACGCAGTCCCATTAAAAACTTGATATTTTTGTCACGATTGATAGTTATGATCGGTGTTTTAAAGTTTCATTTTTACTAATTAGTTAATTAGCAGTTTCGTAAGATCTTTCAATGTGGTGAGAAATATATATTTAAACGTTCGAAAATTTCCACGAAAATATGAGTACTTTCAATGAAAGTACGAATATGTATTTCAAAAAATATGTGCGTGTAAAATCACTCTGTAGAGTCACCTAATTATTATTATTATATTAGCTATTCTTTTTATCAGTTTTTCAAAGATTTAAATTAAAAACCAAATATATGGCGGGTTAAGTAAGCAAGTGTAAATATCTATGAATATATTTATCACTAACGAGTAACAAGCTGGGGGGGGGGG